AAAATAACATGGAAGAGAACAAAAGACTACGGCAAATGAAATAAAAGAACTTAAAAAACTACGACGGTCCAGCAAAAGAAAGTTCAAAATAACAAGAGAGAAAGCAAAGGGCATTTCAATAATCACGAGCAAATCCTTACGTCCTTTGGCCTTAAACAAACGCTACTTAACTTTTATAGTTCTTATTCATAATAAAAAACAATCTATAAATTCTTTAAAACGTTTTAGTTAGCAGGAGCTTGCAATATTCAAATAAAAAATCATGAAATAAAAGCAGAAAAACTCAAGAAATCATATAAACGTTAAAATAAAACGAAAATAGTAAACGGGAGTATATGAAATGCAAATCAAAAGGGCAAATAAAAACTATTCAGCAAAAAAAAAAGAAAAAAACTAGATTACGCTTGTTTAAAATGACGGTCACTAAAACATTTCAGAACAAAAGAAAAAGATCCTTAAAACATATCAAAACAAGCTTGACATTTAGGAGACGCTACCGATTTTGGGGTAACCCTCCTCTGAGCGCCACTTTAAAGCACGTATTTATGACTGGTATAACGATTACACAGTAACGAGTGTTGATAAATTCTCTATGGGTATTACGAAAGTGGTCACTGATTACTACAGCACCTGGGTCTGTCCAAAGAAAACCTTCAAGACCAACATCTCACAAAGCTCCAAACAACCTATCTGGGTCGATGACCCTACACTATTAAGGGAACAAAAGCAAGTGCAGAAGCTTTTTGATATCTACAAGCAGGACAATACTCGTGACAACCTTATTCAGTTTCTTAACGCGAACAAAAATCTACGGGAATTCGAAAAATATTTCAGAAATGAACACTGAACAGTTCCTACAAAGCATTAACAATAACACCTCAATGTCTGAGATCTGGAAAAAAATAATCGACCCTTTATAAAAGAAAGTGAGGTCACCGACTGTTCCTTTTTGCAAGTAACAATCGGTTTCCTCACTCCCTTTTGCAAGTAATAATCGGTGATGTCACTCCCTTTGTAAGGAACATTTGATGACCTCTTTCCCTTTGGTGACCTCATTCCCTTTTGCAAGTAACAGTCGGTGACCTCATTTTCTCTCAGGAAGCAATCGGTGACCTCACTTCCTTTTGCAAGGAACAATAGGTGACCTCGCTCCCTTTTGTAAGGAACAATCGATGAAGTCACCGATTGTTACTTGCAAAAGGAGTGAGGCCACAGATTGTTTGTTGCAAAGAGAGCGAGATCACCGATTGCTCCTTCCAAAAGGGAATAAGGGAGTGCAAGTAACAATCGGTCACCTCACTTCCTTTTGCAAGTAACAATCGGTGACCACACTCCTTTTGCAAGTAAAATCGGGGCCCATATATATGTATATAAACAGTATGCAATATCACGTCGTCTCATACCAGGAGGCTTAGAACAATACTGAATATCTCACCTCCCCCCTCTCCCACAGGCTTACAAATATTATCATATATGGAAACTGACGCACTCGAGGTGGCAACACACTCTAATCGGAGCCATGGCGTGGCGTCGTTTTGCCCTGTATATTCCTTAAAGAGACTGGGAGAGACTATTTTGCATTGCCAGGCGCTCTCTTGCATCTCCCTTCATACTGAAACATGAACTTCGGTCGCCTTCCCTTCGCCGAAGCCAAGGGCACGAGCGTTTTATCCCGCGAGTGAGGAGGATGCTCGAAAACGGTGTTGCCACGGACGGCTCCTATGTAACATTATTTTGTTGTTTAATAGATGTATATTTCATTTGTATTTTCTGACACCACTCTCTTTCCTAGAATAAGCAACCATGAGATGGAATTGAATTACTTTGATTTTTACATTTAAGAGTATTTATTACTTCACAGAACGTTATCAAAAAAAGGTTAAACAAACGACTTTGCAAACATCGCCTCCAGTTCGCCCAGCAGTATGTGGAGATGTTTATACATGGCAGTGCCCTACAAGCCATATTTTATGTTTTAATTGTCAGCATCTGTACATTCATTGTATCCCTAATACGATTTTGCGATCAGATAATGTTCTGTAATGAAGAAAATGATGTAGCATGTTTTCTGTTTACTTTGTGTGTTTAGTGACGAAAAGAAAAAGAACTAGTCCCTTCATTAGTTTGGTTAGACACTACTAGATGGCATAGCCACGGCCCGCAAGAAGCATTTTCAAAGGTATCAGCGATTTAGCAAAGATTTTATTCGAGTTAGCTGTCAAATGTAGATGTTTCAAGGCGATATCCGTTGGCCATAAGGTCGCGTTTTCCGTTGACAAACCTGGAAATCATTTCCGATTAGTAATTTTTTATCATTATTTTTTTCATATTCCTCATTATCTTTCCTCTCGTTTTTGAATGTTAATGCATGTGCTTTGTTGCTTTCTCAAAACTATATGCGTTTTTATTTCGCTTTTCCTTATTATTTCCATTATCCGTTCTTAACTATTTAACGACGCTACTGCTAGTTTCCTTTAACTGCCTCCCAGACGGCGGACTG